TGTGGAATTTGAATTAGCCGGAATTAATGTTTTTCTGATTTCATTGTTTATATCCACAGTAATTTCCATAATTATTTATTGTATAGTAATTTATTTAGTTTTTTTTTTAATATTGTTGGCAGTAGTTGCACTTATTTTGGAAACATTGGAGCTGGATTTATATTTCAGTATGTACATAATTGCACGCTTCGATGCAGTTGGTTTCGAGATTATATTTAGTTAATAATTTCTTGGAATTGTTTTGTTGTTGTTTTATATACACTGAAATGAATGGAATTTGTTTGGAATTCTGGTATTTGTGTGGAATTTTTTAGAATTCACTGGGACGCGTTCTGTTTTTTTCATTATGTTCATTGGGAGAACTGCTTTGTTATTTAATTCACTGGAATTACTGGGAGTTGTTGGAAATAGTATTAGCATTTAATTCTACGCAATTATGGAAATGGTCAATCACTCCAAGGTTGCTCGCCATGTACTTCCTCTGTACTCGGTTTTATGGCATTTTTGGAGTTCTTGGAGTTGTTTTATGTACTTTGACATTAATCAAATTCATTTGAAAATTCGTGAGTTACGTGGAATTCTTTGTAATTCACGGTAATTTGGTTAGAATTCTCTATATTTTCGATGTGAGAATTATTTCGAGTATTATATTTAATATTTGCTGAATTATTTGGAATTTCGTACATTATTGTGGCCAGTTTTTTTATTTTTTACTTCCCGAGCGTAAGCAAAGGAAACATTGTAATCGAGTTCGTCGGCCGACTCTACTTTTGCATTTTCTCGACCTATCTCCCGTTTCCGTCTGTCTGTCCGTCTGTTTGTCCGTCTGTCTGCCGTTCCGGATTTTTATTAGACAGATAATCTCCGAAAGTACTGGGCCGATTGTTGTCAAATTTTGTATTTATATTAGGTATATCATGTAGATGGTAAGACGCTACCCAAAATTTGTCTAGTCATCCCCACCACTAATGTGATGACGTCACTTCAAAATTATACATAGTAAAAGTTTTAAATTGTATCAAATAACGTAGTCTTACACATGTAGTTATGACGCCGAATTGACATTTTACCCGAAACGTCCAGATTTTTGGAAAAGAAATCAAAATTATGAAACAACATTTTGCCATTTAATTTGGAATCTGCAAAACTCAATGCTTTGAAATCTTGCAGATGGTTTACAGTTATGATAAACAGTAAAGTTTTTATTCAAAATATATTTACTTGTCCCCTCCAAAAAATTGATGACGTCACCTGAAAAGTTTGCCGAATAAATCCTTTCTAAAATGTAGAAAATATGATGAATCTGTACTTGTAATTGATCATTCCATTCATATTTTTTGAATTTGCATATACAGGGTGACTCAAAAAAATTAATGAATGCGTAAATTTTATTTAATTGATTTAATCAGGAACTACAACACGGAATGTTTTGAAATCTTGGAGATGTTTTAAAGTTATCATAGGCATGGTAAATTTTTGATCAAAATATATTTGCTCATTCCCCCCTAAAAAATTGATCACGCCACTCCAAAATTTTTCCTAAAAAATGCTATCTTAAATGTGCATTGTGCGAAGTATGAAGAGTCTATAATTGTGATTTATCACTGGATAAATATTTTTTAGATTTGGTTATACGGGGTGTGTGAAAAAATTAATGACTGAGTCAATTTATTTTATTGATTAAATCAAGAATTGCAAAACTGAATACTTTGAAGTCTTGACGTTTTGAAGTTATTGTAAGTATGGTACCTTTTTAATGAAAGTATATGTGTTTATCAACCTCAAAAAATTGATTATTAGCAAAAAGAAATCTATAAAATAAATGTAATAGTAACATTTATTCTATTCTGGTTTTTTCTGAAATATTTTTTTTTCTTTTTAAATAGAATAGCGAATGTTTTTAAGTGCGTTAAATACGTATTTTTACTTTCCAAGCTAAATAAATATTGCAATAGGGTCCATTCGGGGATGGGTACTTTCATGTTTTCTCGACATTTCATCACCATTAGAGTATGAAAAAATAGGTCTCCGGTTTTCGTCTGTCTGTCTGTACATCGGTCTGACTAATTGAGTGACTGAGTGACTGAGTGACTGAGTGACTGAGTGACTGAGTGGCTGACTGACTGAGTGGCTGACTGACTGAGTGGCTGACTGACTGAGTGGCTGACTGACTGAGTGACAAAGTGACTGAGGGACTGACAGATATGGAAAAACAATTGATCAACTGGTTGAGTGAATGGCTGCTTTTACTTGCTGACTGACAGACTGACTGAGTGAATGCTTGACTCACAGACCGATTGAGTGACTTATTGACTGAGTGAGTGACTGACTCACTAGTCTATAATATTTCAATTGTCGAAAAATTAAAATTCAATTTTTGAAAAGTAGCCTGTTGCATTGGAAATAATAAAGGCAAAAATAATGTCAGCGATATAGTCTTATATATTTTTTATTTTAGTCAATTGTTTAATCTAAGTTCAAATTTTTAGATATTTGAGGTATTAAGAGTGGAGTAGAAAAAGAGGGATTAAAATTTTTGAAAACAATAAACCAAAAAATCATTGTTACACCACTGAAAAAAATACAAAAAATATTATATTTAACCCACGAAAAAAACATACGTTTTCCATTTCAAAAGAAAAGTTGATGTCTTTTTCGAAAAAATCAGGAGTGATGTAGTACTACTAGTAGTTTTTAACTTCTGTCTAAATCCTCGACTTTGCTACACAGTGGGTTATAAAAGAAATGTCAAAATGTTACCGACAAAAATTTTTTTTTTCTTCTAATTTTTAATAAAGTTTTAAATATAAAATGAAAATACTGACAGTTGCCTTTTTTTTTCCAAAATTTGTGAACATGGTTTTTCTTCAATGACACGAAAAACAAAGAGAAATCAATTGTAAATGTTTCCAGGTTTTCGTTATTACCATTTGAGAGCAAGTTTCTTTTCCATAACCATATTAATTAATAATTTTTGTTAATCGAGAACACAATACAAAATTAGTATATTCAAAGTTCTAATTTAATAAAATTTGTATTTGGTAATAACTCACAATAAGAACGAATTAAATTTGACACAGTCGTTTTTATCTTCGATTTTGTTTATGTTGTTGCTCTTGTTTTGTTGAAGAAGAAGACCGCTTACTTTACAGGATACATTAGAATAATGAAATGAGACTAATAGATTTCGTTTGATAAAATTTTCATCGTCCGAGTGCAGTCTTTACGGAAAATTTCAGCCGTCACAACCTGAAATTCTTTAATCGATTAGTGGGTGATTAAGAGGTAATTCACCTTTCCTCGTTTACTACTCACTCTGTGCATTATGTATAATCATAGCTGTTTATTGTAATTTTGTTTAAACCTCGAATACGGAAGTTTGATTTATTGTGTGTTTAACTCTGTAAAGATTATATTTGTGTAGCTTCTAAATTAAACGGTATTTGATTTATGGTGCTGTGTTTTTCTAACAACGTTGCATTATCTTGAAAGTGAAAGAAAATATGCGCGCAAGGTATGGACAATAAAACGGAAAAGTTAAAATTTTCTCATGCTTTGATAAAATGTGGTGGATTTGGTAAATTTAGAATGTGAACCTGTCTTTGACGCTTTGTTTTTGCCGTGTAACAAGAAACATCCAAGCAATTTCCGGTGTTCTCACTAAATCAGATATGAAAAGTGATACTGAGAATCCGCCTCTCCGTGACACAAACATTTCAGCATAACAATGATTAAAAAAGAAAATAATACAAATTTACTTTACCTATTTAAATAGCCGACACAATAGACTATTAGTATGTAAATCACCAGACGCGAACTATCACTGTCAACAAAACTCGTGGCAGATTTTAATGCATAGTCGTCCTAAATAATTTGAACAGTTTCACTTCACAACTGATATAATAATATTACTTTAATAATAATAACATTTTATTGTATTCACTTCATTGTTTTAATTTTTTGCAAAAGGAACACTCGTAACAGAAAACAGTATAATTACAAAACAAATTGCTTTTAATTTTTTTGTGTGGAACAATGTTCATAATGTTCATCGCAGATGTAGAAAGCGTTTGAAAGTAGACATTTTTAAAAGCATTTTATATGTCATAAAATTATTTTGTTTTGTTTGTCGGGAAGATGTTGTAGAACTCTACAATAGTAAAACATACTCAGCATGTGTTGTTTGTGTTAAGAGACTCAGTTCTTACAGATTGTTAATTCCTGTAGTGAACATAATTTGATTATAGAACCATATACTTAGTGTGTACGGAACGAAAGATGTAATTGACCAAAATTAGTGAAATTTTGGTGAGATTCTAAGATTGATTTAGGGATAACAGAACAATTATTAAAATGTATTTGTTCATCCCCTCTACAAAGTTCATGACGTCATTGCAAAATAGCTCATTATGTATACCCTTAGTTGTTAAAAGTAGTAAGGAAATGAAAAAGAATTCATTTCTTATTCATCTGAACAACTTTCCAAGCTTTCATACACGAGGAACAAGTGGGTGCCCGAACGTTGTTTGGAAATCTTTTTTTACTTTACCAATATAGCTAGTGGCAAAATAACAGCCAGCTAATGCGGTATTTGCCCCCCGGGCACCATCTTCGATTCGAGCCATCATTGTGTTATATTGTTCAAAAAATGTATGCAAAATCATGAAAAGCAAAAAAAGTAGGCGTAGACTGGCGACCGGGACCGTGAGTTTAGCTCCGTAACCGTAGAATACAGCTCAATCATCCTCCCGCGTCCTGCCTCTCCGGCCCCCATCGAAACCCCCGTTTCGGTTCCATCAAAACCCACCTGCTCCGAAGCTCCTCCGGGTGACTTCTTTACGTTTCGGAATCCGCATCGGCAACGGCAACTTCTTGGAAACATTCATAAGCAATTTTCGAGTTTGTGTCTGTAAAATTGCCAGCTGTGCTGAATCCGGCGAATTAATGATAGGTTTGCGAATGTGGAAAGAATTAGCAGGAGTTGTGTTGTGTTGTTGCAGGTGAGCGGGCAACCCCCTTGAAGAGATGAGCGGGTCATGCGCGCCGGCCTGTGCACGGTAAGCGCCCCTCTGGCCGCGTGCAGCCCGGCAGCAGCGCTACCCCCTTCGGCCCGTTTCCTGGCGCTACATCTGCTGCACCAACAGACGCTCTACTTCATCGTTCAAGCGAAATCCAGAGTCAGGGAGCTTTACCAGCAGACATGCCTGCACTTCGCCCAGCAGGGAATGCTCGACACCGACCTCTTCGGCTTGGCGCTCATCTGCGGTGAGTTGGGGGACGAGAAAGAATTAAGGGAGATTATTCACAAAAGACTTTGAAGGAATAGTTTTTTAAATATTGCAGATGTTGTATGCATTCTATGAAAACAAAGTGATTAAGCACTGATGGAAACTTCAAAATAATCGTCATTGACACTATAGCACATTGCATGCGACATGAAAACGTGCATTTTGGGTAGCAATTTGTTGTTTTTTTTTTTATTTCATAAAGAGGTTGGTCTTGAGTGTAAGTAAAACTGGGCGTGGTGACATACGGTCATCTTCATCGGGGTGCGAAAATTTTTTTGATCTTGAGTTAGAAAATAAATTGTAAACTACAAGATATAATCATCTATAACTTTGATTTATAGTTTTTTGGCATAAGAGTGATAACAAAAAAAGTTCTAGGTGGAACATTTGAAAAATTATGGACCGAAAAATTTCAGTGTGGTATTTTCAGTCTAAGAGAAACTTCTGTTGCAAACCGATTTGAAAGGGTGAGATTAAGAAAAAACGGTAAACCAGCGAATTATTTAATGAAAAATCAGCTAGTTAACGGGACAAGTGGAAGATTTATGGAGAATGGAAATAGGAATAGAAGTAAGACGGCGAATGGGTGAATTATAGTTAACTGCGTAAGAGTGTACAAAGCACACACATTAAAAAATGGTCGAGTGTTATTTCGACAGAATTTCCCTCGACCCTGAAGTACAGTAGAATAAATCCAGATTTTTCGAAAAATTATGAGTCAGTTTATTTTATTTATTAAATCAGGAACGGCTCACTCCATTTTACTGAAAATTTGGGAATGCAATACTGTTATTATTAATATTACAGTGCACCTATCGAAATTGATACAAGTGTCCTTGGAAAAATGTTGATGACGTCATCACAAAAGTTAGGAAAGAAGAAATTCCTTTGAAACATACGCATAGCACGCTTCTTTACATTTACTTTGACATCACATACATATCTTTATTTGAAGTTATAGGAGGTACCCGCCACTGATTCCATCTCATTATGTTATGAAAGCACACTTGTTTATATTTGGTCTAAACTGTCCCGTTGTCAACCAAAGATAGGAAACGGATTCACAATTGGTCTAGAAATATGAATCTATGGATAAAGTAAGCTTGTAATAATGAGTTTCCCCATTTGAAAATGTTCCGATTAACATTATTTCAGCAAAGTATGTTATTTCGACACCTGTCGTGTAATGCTAATAAGAAAACATTGGAATATATCGTACTTGAGATTTAATCAATAAAAAAAATATAATGGATAATGGCAGCCAGTAACTGTGGAAAAAACTCCGTGCCGGATTCGAACGAACGCGATATTCGCATTCGAAGGGGAATAACTGCTCTATATGCCAAGAAATAACCTTGTACGAACTCCGGATATACTAGTACGATTTCAATTTTTGGGGGAAAATTTGGATGCCTTGGCGAAAATCTGAAGTACAGAAATATGTTCTTTTAAAAAATTAAAAAAAAAAAAAAAACTTGAGGGGATGTCATCACATTGGTGGTGGGGATGATTAGAAAACTTTCGGTTAGCATTTTGCGATGGTAAAGTTGACCAAAATTTTAGTACATGACATTCCTAATATACATAAAAAAATTGACAACAATCAGTCCAGTAGTGTCGGAGATTACGTATCTAATAAAAGTCAGCACAGACAACTGACAGACAGACAGACAGACAGACAGACAGACAGACGAAAACGGGAGACTACTTTTTTCATACTTTGGGGTCATGAAACGTTGAGAAAAGAAGTGGCTGTTCGTCCGATGGACACCACGATTATTGTACTTCCTTAGCTTACGCTTAAGAACTAACAAATTACAATAAAAAGCCAGGGTTGGGAAAAATGGATTAAAAAAATAAAGATCAATGTTTTTTTGAAATCACGATTTTTTTTTTATTTTGTTTTGGTTCTTTAATGATTTGAAATTAAAACGTTTAAAGCAGCTATGAAAGTCAAAAGTCGGGAGTTTTAATTATGTTTATTCAGTTTTTGAGAGCGTTTTATATATGATTTAGTTATTTTAATTTTTGTTGTCCACGTATTGTAACACGCATTTTAAGCAATGAAGACAATTTATTTTCATTTACATTCCTAGACAGTAATATGCAGGTTATTTATGTGCAAAGCGTGCTCGAAAATTTTTAATTAATGTTTTGTAATACCAAAAAAAGAGTGTAGCTTAGTAGACAAAACTTTTCTCCCCGTTGAAGTACAGTCCAATAAATACAGCTTTTTCGACAAGTTATAAAATTTTGTTTTGCGAATTTTATGTTTTTGTTAAATTTAGGATTGTTATTTTATTAAATTTAAATATCATTTACTGTGCAAAATTTTTAAGTGACGTCTTCAACTTGTTGGTGGGGATGATCGGACAAATTAATTTTAGTTAGCGATTGATAACAATCATTTTAATGGTTTTGGAATTATCTGTCGAATAAAATCGACACAAACGAGAGACGATAGATAGACAAACGGAAGACCTATTTTTTCATACTCTGGGAGTCATGAAATGTCGGGAAAACAAAAATTTAAAAAACAGGAATGCTTTAAATTAATAATTTCATTTATTTATTTTTTGCCGAAAGAAGTGTTTAGTTGCACTCGATATTTGTTTCACGGTTAGATGTTCCAGAAATTTTGAAACATTAATTTTTCTTTCACTATGTTTGATTTATTTAAAAATGTTATATTGTGGATATTAACGTCAAAAATTTACTGAGGAGTTTAGGGTTTGAAATGGGACGTTGTATAAAACAAATCTGTTTGATTTTATGGAAAGAAAATCAAATTTTTTCACAAGATGAACATAATTTCGAAATTTCCTTTAATATTTCACTTTTCGTTTTTAATTCCTTAGGTTCTTTCGAACGTCGGATTTAGGATATCCATGTCCCAGTTATAGAATTTTTCCATCTTTTTCGGTCTCTTGATACAATTTTCGTTTCTTCCATTGTTTTCCTTTTCGATCTTCCTGATTCCTGTATTTCTTGTATCCAGGTCTTCCTGGATCTTCCACTTCTTCTTTTTCTCATTGTTCCCATCTCGTGTACTCTATTTGTTAATTTTCCTAGCTACATTTCTATTATATGCCTATACACCACATTCTACGTGTCTCCATATCTTCTCAATTTTCTTCGTTACAGGTTCTTGCTGTACTATTTCCTTTATTCGTTCGTTTGGTTTTCTATCCCATTTCGTTTTCCCTGCTGTTCGTCTTAAGTAAGTATTCATTTTCATGGTATTAATTTAACTTTCAGGTTTCTTTGTTATTTTTGTGTTTCCCCTTTACGATTAACGTCTCTCTTGTTTTTCGTTTATTATCATTACTCTACTTTTAATTGTATTTACCTTCATGCTTATTTTATTTATTTATTATTTTGTCGATCATTACTGTAAACAATAATGCACTTAAACCATTCCCGTTTTAATTATCTATCCATTCGGAATTCTTGTGATCTTTCCCAGCAGAAAACTTTCCCATACTGTTTGATATTTACTTCTGGTTTTAAGATTTCACATTTTAGAATTTTTAGATTTCTTTTATTCGAAAATTTTATTGTAAAAGTTTTAAGTGTTTTCGTTACACAATTTTCATCGACACTGCGTTTTCCGAGTACAGTGTTCTAAAGCACACGATTCGTCAAGTTTACTTCTCTTGGTAATGCTGTAACGCTGATAAATCAAAAAACAAAGTAAATAGTAATTGTTTATGACGAAATACCCCAAAAAAAGAAAATCAGCAGGGCTTCGCTGGCCCCCGAACAAAATTTAAAAAAATAATAAAAGTATAGATTTTGGGAAATTTTATTTGTGATAACCGCTATACACAAAAATCTATAATAATAGGTACCAGGGCATTTTTTTGATTTCGAGATAACATATATCCACTCATGAACAAAAATATGGAATATTTAAATTCAAAATATTCGATATTTTTGTCCATGAATATATAAAACTTGACAACAATCGTAGTTTCGGACACAAACGATAGGCAGATGGAAACGCGCGACCAAATTTTTCGTGCTCTAGGAATAATGAATAGTCGAGCAAACCTGGCAGTGGCCATTCGTCGCTAAGAAATATTTTTTATGAGATTGAAAATGCAAGGGTTATTTCGTCCAAATTTGCCCATTTTTTAGTTTGTTTAAATAATTGTATTATGTTCTCAAATTTTATATTATTGTTCCTACTAAACCAAATATTTCGAAAACTAACTATTGACGCGTTTCAGCATCTGTTCGGATTAACTATCGAGAGATGACAGCGTAGCTGTTTGAAATACATGAAAAATTCAGGTGTCAGTTGATTAACGACGCGTACATAGAACGCAAACAATAATACGTTGGATTGGATTATTTTGAAGTATTGTAAATTGTAAGCTTTAAATGGGGTAAAATAAGGGTGCAATAAAAACACAAAGAAGCCTTTTTAAGAAAAATTAGAGGAAATGAGGAGTAAAATTTGGTATATATTTTTTTTTAGAAAAATGTTTGTACAAGTGATTACAACCTACACATGGACTTAAAAGTGAATGTTGTCATAACTTGAAGTTGAAGGATAAAAAAAAAGTTGTAAAGTTGTATTAGACAAAACTTCGCTCACCTCTGAAGCACAATCAATATTCTCTGTTGTTAAAGTAAAAAATATTAGACGAAATTGTTAGTAATGAAAAAAATTAAAAAGCAGTAGTTCAGCAATTTGTCAAATGTGACAGATAATATGACAGTGTGTCGCCATCTCGACATCAGCGGCAAAATTACTAAGAAAACCTTTGTAGAACCAACATAACTAAACTACATGGTGACGTGGCCTTAATTTGTTATTAATTTATCATTATAAATCCCACATCCTAACTCAAAAATTGACCATTACTGCAACAACGACAACAATACATTAACTTGGAAAAAATTGCCATTAGCGGAATTACTCATTGACGACAAAATCAGGTGATCCCGAGTTTCTGAGATAACTTCGCG